CAAACAAAGCACAAAGCAGATGCCAAGAGAGACGGGGAAGAGTTCGGATCACAGACCAGGCCCGTGGCTTCTGAAGGTTTCAAAGCAAATACAGACGAGACAACTTTATAACTGAGGGATCACTGCAGGAAGACGACATTAAGAACTGTCTGGAACTGGGGGATGAGGAGTCTCAGATCACGCTGCTGAATTCCTGACACCATGTGTGATGCCATTCTGAGTTATGGAATATAAACTTTTCACTAGGAGTTCTTCAAACTGTCTTCTGCTCATGCATCATTTTCCATTTTCTGAGTAAATTAAATTCTTTCATTAGTTATTCCTAGTCCCTATGCCTTATGCAAATGAGAAAATAAAAATACTAAGTTAAATATTATCACATAACACAAGGATACAGAACAGAATGCATGTTACACAGTCACTTGATGTACATGCATCAAATATCTCTACGAAGTGACCACACAATCTACTGACAGTGGAAAGCGGAGCTGAGGACGAGGGAGCCGAGACTCACTCCTCACTCTTCTTCCTTTTGTACTCTGTTCACCCATTACCTATACTCCTACATGCTTGCAGTCAGGCCTTCATATCTGCAGATGTGGAACCCGCGGACCCAGAGGGCTGACTGCGGGACTTGAGCATATGGATTTTCGTAGCTGCAGGGGGTTCTCAAGCCAATGCCCCCGTGGATACCAAGGTGAGCCTATCGTTATAAACAGAAAAAGCTCTCACAGAATGAAGAGGATGCATCCCATCTCCTTCCTGCTGTCTACAGAGGAAGCTGGGGAGTCCTAGCAGAGACTGGGTAGTTTATGGCTACTCAAAGTCTCAGACATGTTGGTGGGGTGATAGGGAGATGATACAGTTTCCCCCACATGGAGGGAAGGCCTGTTGGGGATTCTGGAAATACACGGGATTTGGGAACAAGTTAAATGGCACCATGAGAAAACCACCAAACAAATCCAGAGTAAGGGACATTCTATAAGACAACTGGCCTGGTCTCCTAAGAGAATGACAGTCATGAAAAGAAAAAAGAAAAAAATAAAGGTAACAGTATGGTAGGTAGGTACTCCAGATTAGCAGAGGTGAACAAGACATTACAACCAAAAGTAAGGTGCAGAATTTGACTGGATCCTGGATGGAGGTATGGGGAGAGGAGACAACTATAAAAGACACTTTGGGACACAATTTGAATGGATATTATAAGGTATTAGGGATTATTGATAATTTTCCTAGGTGTGATAATGATATGAAAATTGTGTTAGAGAATGTCCCTACTTTAGGAGAAATATAATAAAGTATTTAGAGGTAAAGTATTATGCTGCTTATAATACTTTTTTTTTGAGTTGGGGTCTTTTTTTTTGAGTTGGGGTCTCACTCTGTTGCCCAGGCTGGAGTGCAGTGGCACGCTCATGGCCACCCTGTTTCAACCTACTGGGCTCCAGTGATCCTTCTGCCTTAGCCTTCCAAGTAGCTGGAACTACAGGTGTGCACTACTACGCCCGGCTAATTTTTTAAAAATTTCTTGTAGAGACGAGGTCTCGTCAAGTTGCCCGGGCTGGTCTCAGACCTATGAGCTCAGGCAATCTACTTGCCTCGGCCTCCCAAAGTGCTGGGATTACAGGATAATTCACTTTCAAATGATTTGAGGGGGGAGAAAAAGTAGTATAAATATTTGGAGAGAAATATAAAGAAAGTAAGCTAAATGTTAACAATTAGTGAACCTAAGTGAAGGCATATGGATGTTCTTTTACTGTTCCTTCAACTTTTTTTGTAGGTTTAAAAATTTTACAAACAAAAAGCTGGGAAATAAAAAAGAAAGTTTAAAAATAAAACCAAACAAAAAAGAGAAAACACACAAAAGAAGAGTCCCAGACGCCATCCTACTCTGTCTACCTAGTCTTCCAATGCTGGGGAAAGTCCTTCTGTGTCTGGGTCTCGGTTTCCTGTTTGTGGAATGAAGAAGCTGGAGAAAATGACCTCTGAGGTGACCTTGGTTCTCAAGTCTGTGGATATGATGAGGAATTTTCAGGAACAGGATTTGGATGCCTCCCACAGCCCACCTTGTTCCTCTAGACAATCACCCAAGTACAAGTTTTTCCTCAAAGAGACTCAAAGAGCTTGTTTTGTGAAGTGTTACAAGCTTTTCCTTTGGTTGGAAAAATTATAATACGCTAGTTTCTTAGACTTTCTATGCCCTTAAAAAAAGTTCTAACGGAACTGTAATGAGTATGAGGAGTAGATTTTTAAGTGCAAGAAAAGGCACAAAAGCAAAACTATTCAAATAATTCCTGCTAAAAATCTAACAGCATAAAAAGTGAACTCAAGCACTGACCAAAGTTTATTTTATCTTGGTGTCTTGATACAATTTCAACTGGATTTGTCAGTCAGATATTGCTATGGTTATCATCTCATTATCGCTGTGGTTGTGCTGATAATAACTGAGGAAATTCTTACCCTGTTGTGGCAACTGAAGAGAGAATCAGCAAAACACTGCTCTAGGATGGCGCCCTGAAGAGGAGCGTGTGAGGAAGCATGCTGTTTACACCTCAGTCCTGCATGTCCGTCCCTCCTGACCTCCTTTAGAATGAGTAGCTTTCACCCCTCCCTCTCCAGGTCACTAGCTCAGCTCGGGACCTAGCAGCGTGCTCTACTCTTGGCGAGTGCTCAATTAATGTTTGCAAATTTGTTTAATTTAATTGACATCCAACAGGTTACATGGCAATAATTTGGTTTGTAACTGCCAATTAAGAGCAAAATGAAACAACATCTTGTGAAATGCTCATTTCCTTGATATTCTTCCTTTTTGTGTGTGACATATTCAGTTTCTTTAATAGTTCTTCCAGATTACAGATTTTCAAAAGTGAGAACTGGACAAATAGGAATTTCTCTACACACGGGCTGTGCAAGATGCAATAAAATACTCAGCCCGCCCCGTGATGATCACATCATCGACCTGGAGGCATGAGAATGGCTCTCTGAACCCTCTAGTAGCTTTGTTGGCTTCTGCCTTCTGTCTCATCCTTTACCCAGTTCTGGGGAGCTGTGTCAACACTTTCTTGGGCAACTCCTAATAAATCTTCTTTCTAAAAGAGGTAGTTCAGCATGTAAGTCAGAGCAGTTCTGCTCTCAAAGATGTAGAAATCATCTTTCTAGCTGGAGATTTTATTCTGGATAACTATGAATCTGCTAACTTTAACAGTGGCATGACCTAATTTGCTATGGTTTATAATGGGTTAAAATCTCCATATAGCTCAAAGAGATCTCAGGAACACTAGAATTGAAGATCCATAAAAAAAGCAAGTGGGCTAATCCCAATATTAGCAACACTCAAAGGTTTTAAAACATCAGCTAGGATGTGAGTATTTACACTAAGACAATGGATGTCTAACCATCCATCCATTGGTCATCAATGTCCATGTGATTTAAGAATTAAACTCCACCTCATACTAGGGTCTAAAGCATTTATAATACACGTTTTCTATAAACTCATGAAACAAAAACAAACAAACAAAAATCAAGAAAAACTTACATCTGAAGGCATGTCAGTTCATAGTCAAGGGAAGGAAAAAACTGAATACCAGTCTGCAAGCCTTAAGACATAACAAAGTTGTCATATCTGGTCTTTGATTTTGGCTCTGAGCTTCCGGGCAACTAAAACCAAGAGGAAATCTTGAGCAGTTCCCTGGCTTTCACTAATCACAAGTGGAAACACATTTTAGTTCTTCAAGGGAAATGAAGCTACTCCTCATGGGGAAAGTCCATGTCTTACTTGTATTTGTAATCTGTACTTGAACAGAACCTGGTAATCCCCAGCCTTCACTGGCTAAAGCTGCCCTTTCCCTATTACTTTATTCTCAAAGGGATTTCTCATGTAGAGCTTTCTACAAGGGAGAATTGAACAAACAGAACTCTCTCTATACACTGGCTGTGTGAGATGCAATGAAATACTCAGCCCACTCTGAAATAATCACACCATCTACCTGGAGGCATGGGAATGACTCTCTGAACCCCAGGAAATTCCGGGGTAGTATCCTTAAAAACAAGCCTAAAGTAAGCCTGCTCCTTGTTGCGTGCCTCACAACGCAGAGGTATACTCAGGGACAAAAGCCTAGAGTGCATGGGGCTGTCAAGACTGATAACGATCTGAGATTGTTGACTCCTGAGGGCCATGTTTAATCCAGAGTAGAATCTAGAATATCTACATATACACTGTGCATCCTTTACATATGTCTGCATACACACCATGGACTTTTGCTAATAATTATGCGACATGTGATTACATCCATGGTTGTTTGCTCTGGTAAGGGCCAGAAGTGCAGGTGCTGTCATGGCTGACTAAGCACAGGTGAATAAGCTCATACTGGACAGTGACACAGTCATGTGGAGAATACTTCTGCATGCTCAGACCTCTGAAACTGAGGGAGTACAGCAAACTGAGCAAGAGTAAAATGGAAATCGTTGGAATTGAAAGCTGTTTTTCTCCCAGGGTGATCACCTTCACTGTCATCTGGGGAGACACCTATGACTGTGTAACCCTTACCCTCATGGAGAGGGAATGTGATGCTGAGAACAGTGTGTTTGGAGGGTGAGCTCAAGCCTTGACAGGCTGTCTGGTCAGCAATGGGGCAGGAGTGGGAAGGTGTGGGGAAGTAGGATAAGGACAGGAAGCACTGAGGAGGCTTGGAACAGACTCAGTGTGCTTCTAAGCAGGTGTTTAATTTTTTTTCCCCCTAACATTATGGCTAACATACACCTTGTAAAGTGTAGCTCTTTCTTTTTTAGTAATTGGTCCTTTACATTATCATATTATTTTCTGATTGTTAGAGCAGATAAAGCAAAAGGTTCACTTTCTGTGCACTGATATATGAGTTAGTGAGAGGATGGAGATTTGTGTCCACTCTGGGTGGAGTCTGTATCCATCCTCATGCCCTAACTCAGGGCAGACTCCTAGGTGGATGTGGCCAGTGATGCCTCTCATCTTTAGGTCATGCCATTACCTTGAACTTTTCCTCACAGTTCTCGAAGGCTTCCATGACCATACATACAGCCTCCATGGAGCGCTCGAGTCGACCATCTACCCCGTTGAAGCGATACATGCTACCAGACACATCTACCACGAGGCGCAGACGCTTGGGTTTCTGTTGAGGGCTGCCCACCTGAGGGAAGGAATGATAGAAAAGCTTTGAGAACTGGGAAAACTCCTTGGTTGCTGTGCTGGGGAGCTCGCACATGTCCCAGAGTGTTAGCTAAGAGGTGGGCAGATCAGTCATAGGACACCACACTAGGCTGTCCCGGCAGGTGGAAAGGTATTTATGGATTATATTTCAGTAAGTAGAATGTCATACCTGTATTGGTAGTTGGGGCCATATGGAAAAGATTTTTCTTTGGAATATAGTCCTTTTAAAGCTCACTTTAGTAAAGCTGCCTTGCTGAGGCAGATGCCTTAAAAATGATATGATGTCTTAAAAATAATAATCTGGAATGACACATCATTTTCACTGCATGACTCAGAGTCAGTAATTATAGCAACAGTTTGTGTTACTTGGGAAAAAGTCCACACCGATTTTACTTGCACCTGTTGTATAGTGACTTGAAAATCATTTTCCACGTGAGCCACAGCCTCAGATTCTTGGAACAAAGTTACATGATGGGGGCTTGACCAAGAACTACAGGAAAACATTTTTAAAACGTCTTTTATCTTGAGTAAGCTCTAAGTTTTCTCTTCCTTCCAGTTACTGAACTACTGCTTCTCTTTTCCTGGTAGTTAAAAGCATGAAAGTGTCATCTAACTGCTGTCTGGAAATAACTGTCAATTAGAATGTGAAACTTAGGAGATTCATTTTGATTTTGGTCCCATGACAGTCAATTTGCAGATTTTAAAAAAAGTTTATTTGCCAGTTCTACTGACCAAAAAAGAAAAAGAAGAAAAATTCCACATTATTCTGTTATTACACACTTGCTGACATGTATGAAAACTAATGAGTAGAGTTAGCAATTTTAAGAAAATACTGTGGGCATTAGGAGTATAATGGTTTGAGGCAAATTCAACATATTAAAAACTTGTTGAGTCTGCCCAATTAAGAACACTGCCACATGTGCTCCCATGACTAACTCACAATTTCAGATGTATCCAAACACATTTGTTGACCACAATGAGTCAGTAAAGCAGTTGTTGATTCATACCAATGACACAGAAATAAGAACTCCCCCAAATCACCACCAGATCTTCTCTAAATAAACATTTAAAAGGAATGACGCTTCCTCCCCCACCAGTTACTATTCCCCCCCACCCCCCACCCCCAACTCTCCGTGGCTACTCAGCAGTTCTGGTTATTCAGGAATATAGGAGATCAGAGAGTGCTCCAAGACACTCTATATTTCATCCTGCTGCCTTTTTTTGTTTTTTGCGATTGTATTATAAATATTTTAAATTATGGCTGCCTAAAACTTTACATACTGTGATTATAGCTATTTAAGAGAGACTTTCTTATTTTCTAAAATTTTCTTAAGTTTTATGATGGACACAGAACTTTAAGGTAACAGAACAATAGAAAATCACCAGGATTGCTTTATTGTCTTTACTTGAAGAATCCTCTGGGATTAACAGATACACTGGGTGTCTTTAGTTTTCCCTCCAGGGCACCTGCTCTGTGTCCTGGGAGCCCATCTGTATGGACTGTGCTGGGGTTCAGAAACTGATACTTCAAAATATGGTGCTTTGACATGCTGAACTGAAGAAGCTTCAAGATCTCTCTGACCCCCTCCTGCTTCCCAAGCAAAGCACAGGATGTTTCTGAAGCTCCATTATCTGTCTAAAGTTCGGATCCACCAGGTTAAAAAACAAAACAAACAACAACAACAAAAAAAGACAATTATCTCTGGTCCCTTCCCTGAGTTTTCATAAAATGAACTCATGTCAGAGGAAGAAAGATGGAAGTCTGTTAACCACTGTCTACTCTGTGGGCCCAAAAAACTTTGTCCTGGGCCACCCTACGTTCTTCAAGCCCACTGAATTCCTCTAAAAACAATGAACTACCCCACTACAATCATCCACATTTCCCATTTTCCTTTCCCTTAAGAAGAGTCTATAAGTATTAAATATCTGTACTCCTTTGTGTAGTTGGGTAATCACTCTGTGATTCCCCCCATGCACATTAATACATGTGCATGCCTTTTCTCCCTTTAATCTGCTTTGGTAAACTGATTTTCAAAGAACCTTCGAAGGGCGAAGCAGAAGTGTTTCTTTGATTCCAACAACCACATCAGCTACTATCTTGGCTGCTGGCTTCCTGTGGACTCTGCTTGATGGGAGGCACTGGCAGATGAGAGGGAGAGGCTGGGGTATTTGTTCCCTCAGTTCCTTCTCTGCTGTTGGCATGGGTTGGCTCTCCTCCAGAAGGCCACAGCTTTGTACACTATCTCCACCAGGTACCAGTAATGCTCTTTCGCTCTGCCTTTTTAGACCTAGGGGTGAGTTGGATCTCTGCTGTTGCTAGCTAGCTCTGGGTTTCTGTAGAGATTCTTTCTGGCTTTCCTAAATGACACTCTTACCTTTGTAAACAGTCTTTGTGTTGAATGTTCCTTAAGTTACCCAATTTGGGCAGGCCTTATGTTTCTTTCTAGGACCTTGACCTGCATAATAAAGAGTAAAATATTTGTGTTTTTCTTTTTCTTTTTTATATTATGCTTTCCTTGGTTGTCATATTCAGGGTTTGTGGTATTTTGACACAGCTCAAGAAAGCAAGTTTCTGTAAAGAAAATCGAACCACGCAGATCTGAGGCTACCAGCTTGCCATCACTTACCTGTGGCTCCATTTCACCCCGACGTTTGTAGATGGCTTTTTCGCCAGTCAGTCCATCAATGATCTTGGCATCATCTAGTTCCCCAGTCGCTTGATGTCTTAGCCACTGTCTTTCTTTACCTTTAGCCTACAATGACATACACAGCAAATCTTATTTAGTTCTGCAGGGTCTCTGACACACTTTGTGCATGAATAACAGGAAACACACTTGGGATCTTTTCAATAAGTGATGGATCTGCATGAATACAGTTGCAACAATGGACTGGTTTCTGCTCTGCTGACAAAGAAATGCCTTTTGTGTGGATTTTGTCTGTTTTAATTGTTTTAACATATTGAACAATAGAATGAACTCACTTAAAGCACACATGAACAGGAAGATGGCCAGGCTTCTCAAAAATTTATTAGTTAACAAAATAATTGACTTGAACTTGTTAACACTGTCTGTAAGCCCAGAGAGAACGTGATCTTCAGAACCCTTCCATTTGGAAAAAAAAAATTGTTATTCAAGTTCTCCGTGACTTAGTGTGTAAATGGCAACAGCTGAAAACAATAGCATATGATCATTTTGTACCCAACATGTCTCTTTGATCTTTTATGTTCAGAAATCTTCTGGATTACGTTTCTAAAGGTATATCCACTAATACTTTGGCACAATAATTTAAAAACTATGCCAGATGGACTAAGATGGTAGTAAAATTACAAAGAATGATAATATCCCAATCAAGGCATATGTTTATTGCAGTTAATGGCTAAATTTACATTAAGAGGTGGGAAGAATAGTTAAAATCTTTTTATGCAAGCAAACTAGAGGAGTAGTTAAGATCAAGTGCTCTGGTGTCAGACAGCCTGATTCTAATTGTTCTTTCACCACTATAGATATCTGATTGGCGGCAAATTACTTTACCTGTCTGCATCTCAGTTTCTTCATCTTTAAAATGAAGTTAACACAAGCACCTACTTTAGTGATTTATTGTGACGATTAAAGGAAATACTACATGGAATCGGCTGAGAAAGAGTTTGGCAATCTATGTTAGCGTACTATTACTAGTAGTAGGTAAAACACATTATGGACAGCTAAGTTCACTTTAAGGTAAGCATGTTTCCATTACTGTTTCATGGGAGATGGCTGTGTGACAGCTTTGTCATTGGAGATAAAAAGCCAAGCCTGAGGCAGCGGGTGTCTGTTTTAAGGGCTGATCAGTCGTTACACAAAGAAGTTTCACACGATATAACTATGAGTATTACAAAATGTATTGTTTTATTGTTCTTGATACCTTGGCTATAAACAGATACCAAATTACCATACTGGAATACAGATAAATTATTACAACATGTAATAAAGACAAGGAAACTCCTAAACCACCAGCATAAAGATATTACTTTTGGTGGGCAGTTAATTCCAGGAACTACCAGGTATGCTTCCCTTGGGAGAATGTTCTTTCCAGATATGTGTTCTTGACAAAAATCCCATGATCTCACAGGAAAATGGGGTGCATGGAAGCATAGCTATCACATAAAACTTGATAAGACATATCGCTAGGAGGAAGGGGTGAGCCCAGTCTTCCAGAATCCTCTCCCACTAGTCTATGGGTCAGATAGACAACCTTGACACACAGCGCCGTCCTTCTCAGGTCCCTCCCCTGCACCAGTGATTGGGACTCAGTTCCTACGGTGTCTTTCCTGTCTTTCCTAGTGTCTGGTGTGGATAATTTCTCAGGCTCCCAGTATAATTTATGCTGGGCAATACCATTTAGGTACCTTTGATCCTGACACTCTGTGAGTCTTGGAGGTGCCAAGTGGCAGAGGACTGGCTTCTAATGATTTTCATGGATGAGGACAGGCTCTCACAGACTACTCCACACTGGGAAAATCAGCATGGAGGAAAGTATTAAATAAAAGAGAGCATGGTAGCACTGGTTACCTGCCATCAGGGAAGCATGGGAGGTGGATTCTTGAGCTGGGTAAGAGGAACATGGGATTAAAACTGGAGATTATATAGCATCTTACTTAGCCATGCCATTGTCACCATTAAGCATTAGTTTCCCAAGTTTCACAACTATATTGACAGGGCAATCTGAGGATTGCCTGAGGACTCCCAAACCAATCCTATTAGCTGTTACATGGTTTTATTAACCAATGATGCTTTCACTATAAAAGAATCATTGCAGTGGCTACAGATTAAGTGCTTTTTGTGATTTTTAATGCATATCATAACTGTATTAAAAATAAATTTAAGCTCTACATCTAACCATGGAGTAGATATAAGATGCTAAAATTTGGCTGGGCAGAGTGGCTCATGCCTGCAATCCCAGCACTTTAGGAGGCTGAGGCAGGAGTTTTGCCTGAGCCCAGGAGTTTATGACTAACCTGGGCAACATAGCGAGACCTTGTCTCTATGTAACAGATAAACAAACAAACAAACAAAAAATTAGCTGGGTATGGTGGTATGTGCCTATAGTCCCGCTGAGGTAGGAGGATCATCTCAGTGCAGGAGGTCTGGGTTGCAGTGAGCCATGAGGGTGTCATTGCACTCCAGTCTGGGTGACATAGTGAGATCCTGACTAAAAAAAAAAAAAAAAAAAGGCTAAAATTCTAATAATTCCACTCCTTTCCCATATTTTAGCATTTCTAAAGAATGTATGTTTCCTACAATTGATGACAAAACAAAATTGCCAAGATAACAGGTAGAGGGATCAATTGCGACTTGATTGTTTTAGCTGGAGGACATACATATGACCTTGGCTGAGCACAGTAGATTATCAGCTCGCTGGATTACTACTACTGACAGCAACTGGCTTTTAACTTCAGGTAAAATTCCTAATTATTATTTGAAATGCCTCTAAAACATTATTCTACAATAGAACATTAGAATAATGAACAAATAAATGGAACATTAGGATGCCAATATTCTATAAGTAAAGAAAGATTCTTTGCCGCAGACATGACTGCATGTCCAATAAGACCTACGAGGGAAAGATTCTCCCAGAGGAAACATTTGGGTTTAAATCTGTTAGGAGGGCATATGCACAGAGGACTGCATGTCACAGGCCAGACCTTGTAATTAAAGAGAGAAGAAACCTCTAAATGTCATGAAGTAGGTCACAGAATGCCTAAAGTTATAAGAAGGTGGCATGGCTGACGGACCATGGTGGACTATCAAGAGCTGTACATTGGTGAAAAGATTTCAAGGGATGCTGTTAAATTTTCAGCAATATGTAATTCAATTAAGCAAAACACATCACTCTCAGTTTAACCCAGTAGGAATGTGGAGAAAGTCACAGTTTTGATAAGACTAGAAATTAAACTGTTAATCCGAAAGGAATTGAAGAGATTCACAATCATAAGCGTGAATTATCAAAAAGGAAAGCAGTGTGTCACTCACCAGCTCATTAACCTGTTTTATTTTCTTCTCACCTGTTGCCATTTACAAAGTGTTTTTATCTCTTTGTCTACTATCTACTGCTCCACCAGAAAATAAGGTTCGTGAGAGCAGAGCTGTTATCTACTTTATTCATTGCTATAGCCCTAGCATCTAGAACCTTGCCTGATACATAGTAGATGTTTCAATAAATATTTGTTGAATGAATAGTCAAATGCTTACTATAAAATGTCAAGTGACAAAAGTATGATATCAAAGCATAAATATACAGTATAATCTCAATGTGTATATATATGTATATTGCATGTATATTATATCCATGTATACTGTATATGCATTATATACATGTATACTGCGTGTATCTTATATACATGTATACTGCGTGCACATTATATACTGCTATACTGTATGCACATTATATACCTGTATACTGCATGCACATTATATACATGTGTACTGCATGCATATTATATACATGTGTACTGCATGCATACTATATACATGTATACTACATGTATATTATGTACATGTATACGGCATGTATATTATATATGTATACTGCATGTATATTATATACAGGCAAAGAAAAATATATGAGAGAAAACAAAATATTAATTGTGATGGTTATTTAGGGGTTGTGGGATTATGGATGTTTTTTAAAATTTTGTGATTATGAAATTTCATGTAATGAACTTGTGATTTTTATATCTGAAATAAAGAAAAATCAGTTTTTCTTTTCCCACATGAACTTCTTTTTTAACTTTTAATTATTTTATTTTAAAGATGTGGGGTACAATTCAGGTTAGCTATACAAATGTTCATTATGCAGGTACCCTTGTTGATGAAGTGTGCCCCCCCCTTCCCCAGGCAGATTCCCACTACTGCCAATCCACTTCCCTGCCCCCACTCCCAGCACTTTCCCGCTGCTGCCAATCCTTTTCTTTTAAAATTATGATAATTGTTCAAGGTCCACTTATGAGTGAGAACATGTGATATTCAGTTCTTTGTTTCTGTGAAAGATCACTCAGTATTATATACTCTACATCCATCCAGGTTGCTGTGAAATTCATGATTTTTTTCTTCTATACGGCTGTATAATAATCCATAGTGTATACGTACCACATTTTTTTTTTTTATCCAGTCCTCTTTTGATGGGCAACACAGTTGGTTCCATGTTCCTGCTACTGTGAACAATGCTGCGATAAACATATGTATGCAGGTATCTTTTTTATAGAGGGATTTGAGTTCTTCTGGGTATATTCCCAGTAGGGGGATTGTGGGGGTTGTAAGGAAGGTCAATTTTTAGATCTTTTAGAAATCACTACATTGTTTTCCACAGAGGTTGTACTACACTCTCACCAATGGTGTAGAAGTGTTCCCTTTTCACCGCATCCTCTCCAACGTCTGTTGTTTTTTGAGTTGATGATAGCCATCCTGACTGGAGTTAGGTAGTATCTCAGTGTAGTTTTAATTTGCATTTCTTTGATGACTAGTGAGGCTGAGTGTTTTTTCATGTATCTGTTGGCTGCTCATATGTCTTCTTTTGAGAAGAGTCTATTCATATCTTTTGCCCACTTTGTAGTAGGGCTGTTTGTTTTTTTCTTTTCAGCACGTTTGAGTTCCTTATAGATCCTAGATGTTAGGCCTTTGTCAGACATATAGTTGGCAAATATTTTTTCCCAGTCTGTGGGCCCACACAAACTTTTAGAAATCCTTTTATATTTTTATAAAAATATACCTCTGAGACA